GATGGGTTGCCCGGGCTTCGGCGGTGGTGCGAGGGTGAGGCGATTGGCCCAGGGCCGCGTCGATCAAAGCGACGAAGGAGGCGTCAGCCCCGCCTCGCGCCGGCGCCTCCCTTCAAGCTGTAGGGCCACTAAGGGCCTGAGAAAACCCAGGCTTGGGAAAAGTCAACGCAGCCTTTCACCGAGGCCAAACCCCTGCCCGAGTCTGTAATATTGAAGCCCCGATGTCTTCAATTACCTATAGGCTGCAAACAAGTGGGACACGGGCTAGACGACGAGGTCGGTGCAGCAGAGAAACACAGGATAATGGCGTCTGCAGTGCTGTCGCCTGGAGCGCCCTCCTCCTCTCCCGTTCGCGCACTCACTAGCTGGAGGGGGGGGGAGAGGGAGGGTGGAAAGCAGAACTTCTCGCGAGATTTAAAGACCGCCTCGTTCACGCGCACAGAGAGTGGGTGGTGAAGGGGCGGTTTCGAGGCCCGCGGGAATCTTATGGGGTTGGAGGAGGGGCGCGAGCGCGCGGGAAATCGGGCGGGAAACGGCTAAAAAGGATTAGGTGCGCGCGGTGTCGATTCCTGAACGCTCGGTCGCGCGGCCCAGGTACCGCTGGTGCACGAGGGGAATCCCAGGTCGGTGCTCGGCCCAGGCTTACGTCCCGGTTCCCTTCGCCCACGCTCGCGGCTCCCTGCACCCCGAGTCCTGGTCCCCGGCTGCCGGGCTGCGGAACGAGTTCCGCGGCGTCAGGTCTGCCCGCCGCTGCCAGCGCCCGCACCACCGAGTCCGGCCCCCGCCTGGGAAGCCGCTGCTGTAACGGTCCGCGGCGCGCGTGGCGGGGCCCGGGGTGCAGCGGCTGTTCGCGGCCTCGGGTTCGTTCCGGGCGGGATCCGGAAAATGCAGGGCAGCCTTGTAACTCCAGCAGCCAAATCCCCTTTGTTTTCGGGCCTGGGCCCGGACGCTCCGGAAAGCCCAGGCGTTTTCACAGGCCTTCGTTCTAACGAGATCCCCACCCCCCACCCCATTTTTCCTTTAGTTAATGAGTCTTGCGATACGAGTATTTTGTAGTGTGGTCGTGGTGGTTTAATTCTGAGAAAAAAATTCAGAAAGCTAATACTGTATTCATCTGAAAAGGAACGCCAGTCGCAAAATACGTTGTAGACCTAAGCATTGCGTTCAGTCGTCTCTAAAGCGCCTACCTGGTGTCAGGGGACCCGGCAGTGATGAAAACAGACGAAAACCCTCGCTCCCAGCTATACTCCCGGTGGAGCGCACTAACGCCCGTTTTGTGCGCCGTTATTTATTTCCAAGGCCCCTGTGCCAAGCGTTGATGGCTTCTTTGGTTGAAGCACAAGGTCACTCTGAATTGGTGACAGGCCTGGGAAGTCGCCAGTGTAGGTAGTCCCCACTTTCTCCGTCCGTCCTGACTCTTCAACCTTCCAGCCCACACGCAGCCCCAAACTCGTGTTGAAGCACAAAGACGTTATCATCGACACATAAAGCTGGATCCACGAGTAGCAGGATACGTACATCTAGTTATTAGTAGTGATGAATTTGTGCTGATTCATTCCTGTTGTAACTTAGTTACCTTCCTGAATAATTAGCAGTGTACCTAATGCCAGCGTCTTTTCTAATAGCTGTGATTACATACATGCGTTATCTTTTACTTGCCTGGTTTGGAAGACTTGCTAGGGAGGACAGGGGACTTTATGAAGCGCCACGTGTGTCTTGGGAGGACGGTTAACTGTTAGAGCATAGTGTCTGGGGTTATGGAGCTTATAAAATTAAGTGGTGATACAATTTTTCGAATGGCCCAAACCCTGAAGTGCGACTAATTGGGGTGGTAAAACTTAACTCACGTTTTGGTTCTAAGATACAAAGCTCAGGTTTTTATTAAATGTTTAACCAAGAGTTGATGAGTGTATGTAGGGGCTAGGCAGAATTAATGATTATATGGAGCCGGGGCTACTCTGATTGTAGAGATTTGATCTGCTCGTCAGTCTTTATTTATTTTTTGGGGGGGAGAGGTTTTTTTGCTATAGGGCACGTTCAGTCGCCAGACAGGCAGAGAGAGAGACGGAAAGCGAGAAATCACCCCCCGGGAGGATTGGCCACGCTGCAATCTCTTCTCCTCCATTCTCCTCTCGGGATCTTGGGCACGCAGGCACAGGCACCCAGTGTGAGTTTAAGCCACCGGGTCCAGGACTCGAACCATGGTCGACTATGTGGGAGTCCAGCGACATAGCCATTACGCTAGCTGTTGGTCTTAATCGAACCTGTCATTGAAAACCTGGGACAGGGCTTACAGGTGGGTGGTGGTTGGGGCTCTGGACTCCCACATGGTCTACTGCAATTAGAGTGGCTTGCTTTCTCACTTTCCCTTTCTCTGGTCAAATTAAAAGATAGTAATAAATAAAATTAAATAAATCTTAAAAAAACTGGGACATTTCACTAATATGCACATACACTATAATGTGCTTTCTTTCAAGTTAATATTTTTGTTGCAGTCCTTTTCTGCTGTTGATAAGCAGTGATGGGTGGGAATTCACAGTGTGGCCCTGATGAAAGTGGTTGTTCACCTTTTGTAATGACTGTTGTTGGATAGTTGTTCTTCTCGCATTTGTTTTCTTCCTTACTTTTTAGTTTTTAGGTTTGTTCTTTATGTGTCTTTGTTCCTCATCCTTTCATTCTCTATTTAAAATCAAGAGTTTTAAATAGACATTATACCTGTGCTCATTCAAGGAATTGACAACTTCATTGATACATTTCAGGGGCTCCTCTCTAGTGTTAGTTGGTAGTGTTGTTTTAGTGTAGTGTTCTGAACTCTCGATGAATTTAAAGCTGGTATTTAGTTGTAAGATTTACTTTAAATAGACTAATATTGATATTATATTACGTGAGATCGTAATAACCCTCTAGTTGGTTTATTATTTCATTTTTAAATTAAGTTTTATTTATTACTGTTTTTTAATCTGACCAGAGAGAGACAGAGAGAGAGAGGGAAAGTGAGAGAGCAAGCCACCAGGTCCAGAACTGGAACCTGAGTTGTCCATGTGGGAATACAACACCCTAGCCACCGTGCCACCTGCCGCCTGCCCGCCCCCACTCCCCCATTATTATTTCAAATGTTTATAACTGCCATTTACTCATTTACTGAGTTCCCCACTACATGCCAGACCTTGTGCTGGTCATTTAACGCTTATTACAGTCTTTGAAGTAACTTGTAGTTATCTTTATTTTATGGATGAGAAAATTAAGACTAAGAGAAGCCAAGGAACCATGTCAAAGTTGACAAGGCAGAATTGGGGTTCTCTTAAACTCATTCCTCCTTTTTTGTTTGTTTTAGGGTTACTTATTTAATTTTATTTAACCCTGGTCAGCCATGTGGTAGTCCAGCACCGTAACCATTACTCATCTGCTGGCCCCAAATCTGTTTTTTCTTTAGATTAGATTATGGAAAATTTACAAATAACTTCTCTGATTACTTTTTTTTTTTTTTTTAATGAGAGACTTTTGATATAGGGCCTGTCCTCTTGGCAGAGAGACAGAAAGTAAGAAATCATCCTCCAGGGAGGATGGCCACACTATTTCCTTCTCCATGCTCCTTGGGATTTTGAGCATGTGCACACGTGCCCAGCATGTTTTAAGCCACTGGGTCTGGGACTCAAACCACAGTCTACATGGGAGTCCAGCTGCGTAACTATTATGCCCGCCATCTGCTAGTCTCCTTTCTTTCTCTTTCTCTCTTTTTTTTTTTTTCCTGAGAGATTTTTTGCAGCATGGTGCCTGTGCTTGCCTGAGATAGAGACAAGGATAGTGACAGGAAAAGTGAAAAATCATCCCCCAGTTGGAGATAACCATGCCACAGTCCCTTCTCTTCCAGTTTCCTTTTGGAATCTTGGTCACGCACACCTGGCGTGAGGTTTAAACCAGTGATTCTGAGTCCGGGGCTTGAATTGTGATCGGCCATGAGGAAGTCCAGTGATGAAACCACTATGCTATCTGCTAGCTCCATCTCTTTGTTTTCAGTCATATGTAATTTTTTCTCTCTAATTTTCAAAATACTTTCTTAAACTTCTGGGGTTACCCTGAAGTCATCTTCAACAAATAAAAATACATACTTACCTTTATTTTTTCGATGAAGATAATGGAAACATGGAGTGGATTTAAATATTTGTTAGTGCTTTTAAGTCTCAGCTATTGATTGAATTCTGCATACAGTATTCCAAAGAAAGGTACTACAGCCTCTTTTTTCTATTAAAAAAAAAAGCCCTAGAATATGTGAGACTGACAAAATTAATCTACAAATCAAATATACTAAACCTTAGGGGTATTAAGTAATAGAGTGTTCCTGTTCTATTCTGTTTAGTTCCTGGCAGTGAAGATCTAGAATGTAGATTAGTTTGGTCAATCAAGTTCATCATGCATGTGTTAATCAATGTTAAAAAACTCATTTTTTTCCTGATTATAAAATTAATGGGATTAAGCTGTATGTAATTTTATATCTGTCATTTTCTTTAATAAGATATGAGCATATTTTCATGTCATTAAATAATTCTTAAAAATCTTTCATTGCAGACTCCCTAGGCTTCCATTTCATGGATGCAACGTAGTATAGTTATTTCTTTCCTGTTGTTAAACAATTTAGATTGTTTTTTCCTCCCTACAATATAAAAACATAGTGACGATAAACACTCTGGTACATAAATTTTTGTCCTTGTTTCTTTTGCTTCTGTAACTTTAATTCTGGAAAGTAAGAGTGGATCAGATGGTATGAACATGTCTTAAATACAATTTTAAAAAACATCTTTTCCAAATTTATTTTTCCTTTCTTGGGCACTGGAGTTCTCGAGGAAGAGAGGCTGCTCTTTGTGTATTAGCAAATGAGAAATCGTGCCGCCCCTGCTAACCTTCTCCTCTGAGCTGCTTCTACCTGCCGTGACTATGGTTACCCACTTTCTAAAGAAAGAGAGGGACTGAAACCTTAGGAATAGAGGCCAGTAATATGATTTGTCAATTATTAAGGGTTTCAGTTATTGAAACCCAGTTTTATTGTTATAATATAGATCCTACATAATACTTTTTCAGTTTAATTTACATTTTAATATTTTTAACCTATAAGAAAATCCTATTACATACTACGGTTTATATTAATTATATAATCCTATATTTTGACTACAATTGTTATGCCATGCAGCTATAGAGACTATATTTGTGTCCCAAATCAATCATACAGTTTACTTTGATACTAAATGAAGAATTCTAGGAACCAGCGGGTGACATAGGGGATTGCATATGGCTGACCATAGTTTGAGTCCCAGACTCTGTGGCTTGAAGCTCATGCCAGGCCTGTATGAGTGCATGCCCCAAATCCCAAAGGGAGAATGAAGGAGAACCGATTGAGATGTGGCCATCTGCCCCCCGACCCCACCAGACATGGGAGCGGGGGTGTGGGGATGATTTCTCACTTTCTGTCTCTCTAGTAAGTGCACATACCCTATAACAGAAATCTCTTTTTTTAAAGAAAAAATGGATTCTATGCAACGTGCGTTTAACAGTTTTTTTCAAAGTTCTTGACTTGCTGGTAAAATATTTGAAAATATGTGTGATTGCTTGTACAATATTAAGTAGTATC